ATACTTCTTCGGCTACATGGTCCACCGTCTTTTGCTCGCCGCTTTGGAGCGCAGAGAAATCGACGATCGTGACCACTTCGGCAAGAAGCGACTCGATCTTGCTGGTCCTCTGTTGTCCGGACTGTTCCGCATGCTGTTCCGCAAGCTCACACGCGACATATACCGACACTTGCAAAAGTGTGTCGAAGAGCAGCGAGAATTCTTTTTGTCGTCTGCCGTCAAGTCCAGCACAATCACCAATGGTCTCAAGTACTCGTTGGCCACCGGAAACTGGGGAGACCCGAAGAACTCCAAGGCGGTCCGTGCCGGCGTGTCGCAGGTGCTGAACAGGTACACTTTTGCCTCCACGCTTTCGCATTTGCGGCGCTGCAATACACCGATAGGTCGGGATGGTAAGATTGCAAAGCCTCGCCAACTGCACAACACTCATTGGGGCATGGTCTGCCCTGCCGAGACGCCGGAAGGTCAAGCTTGTGGCTTGGTCAAAAATCTCAGTCTTATGTCTCTTATTTCGGTGGGATCAGCGAGCTCTCCCATCATCGAGTTTCTCAGGGAGTTCGAGCTCGAAGGCGTGGAAGACATAAACAGAAGCGGTACCCAACCTACCAAGGTGTTCGTCAACGGCACGTGGACCGGCGTGCACAGAGAGCCCATCAAACTTGTCCAGACGCTACGTGATTTGCGAAGAAAAGACGACATTACCATGGAGGTCAGCGTCGTCCACGATATCCGTGAAAAGGAGCTTCGTCTGTACACGGACGCCGGACGTGTGCTGAGACCGCTCTTCATCGTCAATGAGGACAAGTCACTCGCCATCAAGCAGAAGCACATCGATTGGCTGGAGAGCGGAACGGGCTACAATCGTGAGGGCGAAGAAAGGGAGTGGAAGTGGCAGGCTTTGCTTCAGGAAGGGTTGGTTGAGCTGCTGGACGCAGAGGAAGAGGAAACGGTCATGATCTGCATGAGTTCACAAGACCTCGAATTTTCCAAGGCGTATAATCAGAGGCCACATGCTTTCGAACGAGGCACTGAGATGGATCCTAGCGCACGTTTGGTCTCTCTTCAAACGTTCTCGCACACGACCTGGACCCACTGCGAGATTCACCCCGCCATGATCTTTGGTATCTGCGCGAGCATTATCCCTTTCCCCGACCACAATCAAAGTCCACGTAATGTTTACCGTAAGTTGGACACGAGATATTCGAAAGATCCCGTGCAAGTTGCTCACTCTTATTGCTTTTCTCCTGTTGACCTGCAGAGTCTGCAATGGGCAAACAGGCCATGGGCGTTTATTTGACCAATTACCAGATGCGTATGGACACGATGGCAAACATCCTCTACTATCCCCAAAGACCTCTTGCCACGACTCGATCCATGGAACATCTCAAGTTCAGAGAACTGCCTGCAGGGCAAAACGCCATTGTTGCCATTCTCTGCTACTCGGGCTACAACCAAGAAGATTCGGTGATCATGAATCAATCGTCTATCGACAGAGGTCTTTTCCGAAGCTTCTACTATCGCACATACACCGACATGGAGAAGAAGAGTGGCGTGGTCGAGATGGAGACCTTCGAGAAGCCCACCCGAGAGACCACAATCCGTCTGAAACACGGCACGTACGATAAGATTGACGCCGATGGTCTCTGCGCTCCTGGCACACGTGTTTCCGGAGAAGACATTATTATCGGCAAGACTACACCTCTTCCAGGCGATAGTGAAGAGCTTGGTCTTCGCAGCAAGCTGCACACGAAGCGCGACGTCAGTGTTCCTCTCAAGAGCACCGAAAGCGGTATCATCGACCAGGTTCTCGTCACGACGAACCAAGAGGGAGTGAAGTTCGTCAAGGTGCGCGTGCGCTCCACACGTGTCCCACAGACGGGAGACAAGTTCGCCTCGAGACATGGTCAGAAAGGTACGATCGGCATCACGTATCGTCAAGAGGACATGCCGTTCACTATCGAAGGTGTCACCCCGGACATCATCATCAATCCGCACGCCATTCCTTCCCGCATGACCATTGGACATCTGGTCGAGTGTTTGCTTTCCAAGGTAGCCACGCTATCCGGACAGGAAGGTGATGCGACGCCATTCACCGATCTCACCGTCGAAGCCGTCAGCAGTATTCTGCGCACTTTGGGATACCAATCTCGTGGCCTTGAGGTGATGTACAACGGGCACACAGGTCGAAAGCTGCAGGCGCAGGTCTTCCTCGGCCCAACCTACTACCAACGTCTGAAGCACATGGTCGACGACAAGATCCACTCGCGTGCTAGAGGCCCGGTGCAGATCCTTACCCGTCAACCTGTCGAAGGTCGTAGTAGAGATGGTGGTCTGCGTTTCGGAGAAATGGAGCGCGACTGCATGATCGCTCACGGTATGAGCGCTTTCCTCAAGGAGCGCATGTACACGGCTAGTGACGCGTACCAGATCCACGTCTGCGACTCGTGTGGCTTGATTGCGGTTGCCAACCTCAAGAAGAACATGTACGACTGCAGGTCTTGCAAGAACCGCACAGCCATTTCAAAAGTGAGTGATCGACGAAAACGGCGCGCTTTGTTCGAACGCCAGAGCATTGATCACTGTTTGCATTGCCGCGCAGATCTACATCCCTTACGCCGCCAAATTGCTCTTCCAAGAGCTGATGAGCATGGGCATCGCCACTAGACTCTTCTGATTTTTATTTGGACGCTCTTTCTGCGTTACCTTTGCCCGCCAATCTGCCCCCCACCGTTTCGTATCACGATCGCTAGGCTAGTGATCCCGACCAGACGCAAGGCTGTAACGGGTCTGGACCACATTGAAGGAAAGGGTTCTCCCGCTTCTACGCAACCCCCAAAGAAAGAATATCATCATCGGGCCATCATCAAGTCGCCCCGCCTCCATCGCTGCATCATCCTCGTCGAGCCAAACCCGCCGCGAGTGTACTTTACATTTTTGACCCACGCCTGCACAACCCCTACAATGCGGTCGATTCCGCATCGACTCGCATCCATCGTGAACGAATCGCTTGCGCGGCAGCCTACGGGTGCCGATCGCAACCGACTGGAAAATGCAAATCATAGCCAGGTTTCATTGCGTGTGGGTGAACGTCAAGAGACGAGCTTGCGGAATGCGTGCGACTGTATTGTGCGCACGTCTTCGCGCGAATGTGGTGTACATGTTTTGTGAGTGACATGAGCTTGGCTAGCCGCCTTTTGTTGCGAAGACGCTACCTCTGAGATTGCACGGGAACCGAGTTGCAGAACCCATGCTTGCTTAGCGCAGACGACTGATTAAAGGATAGAGGGCAAAGAGAAAATGTCGATCAATTCGATGCGCTACTCAAAGAATGCGGACTAGAAGTGACAGAAAGACTCACCGTGCCTCACGCTCGGACTCGAGCAATGCAAGGATGTCATCCACCTTGCAAGGACCCTTGACGTTTCGGATGATGCTTCGGCTAGCGTCGTCCATCATCTCGACTCGGACCTGAATGACCTGACCTCTGGAACCGGTGCGGCCCATCACCTTCACCACCTATTCGTGGAGAGCAAGAGCAAGCGGGAATTATGTCAGCTTCGTATGTCAGAAGCTATGCGGGCGGGCGACGTGACTGAGCACGGGAATTTGGACCATGGTCATGATGACTGGCCGGAAGCGCTTGAGCGCCCGACGCCTTCGCGCTCAACGCCAGAGGGTGCTATGCTACCGCATTCTCTCCGCCGCCTCAGTTGTAAACCCCTTTGACTGCATGAAAGCCCAAGGTTTGCGCAGGTCCTTCACTTCCTGGGCTACGCCAGTCCATTGCTGCCAGGTGCGTCCTACATTGCTGCTTCAAGCACGGTGTTGGGCATGCAACAGCGCAAGGAAAGGGTCTCCGCAAGGCCTTCCGCGACAAGAACTTCTGGGACACGATACAAAGCTCCAACACCGTGCTAGACCTTGTCTTGCCTTTAACCTCTGCCGATGAGACCTTGCTACTATCTCGAAGGTCTCCCTGCCTTGCCCTCAGCAGACTACATTGGCACCCCTGAAAAGGGATCCAGTCCAGCCACCTTCCTCCTTCGCCACGAAAAAGGGTCCCGCTCTCGGTCGTCGCGGATCGCGAGACCGGCTCAATTGCACCATCCATGCTGCAGACTACCGGAGCAGCAAAAGCGGACGGATATTCCAACCAAGGCTGGATACTGACCTTGGCGAGTTTGACTGAAAAGAACAGAGAGCCAAGAGGTCAGCATGTTGAAAGTGTACGTTGCAGATGTGGCAGTACACACCTGTTGTCTTTGAAGACTCCATCTTCGATTACGATCGACTGTGCAGCGTAGGTGTATCAAAAGAAGTACTCGAAGAGTGCTGTGCGAGTAGTAAGGTCAATGTGAGGGTCGGTGTCGTAGATGTATGGGGAATTGAGTGATTAAGTTGGCTCACGATGTCTGTGGCCTGCAGCCACGCGGGCTTCTCAGGCTTGAATCTGACTGCGCCGCGACGCGCTGCACCACCCTTGTCAGCCTGGCCGCCTCATGGCCGCAGCTTCCTGCATGCAGCCTTCTCGCGCGAAATTCGCGCGTGAGCCTGATTGCAGAGAGCCACGTGGTTTCTTCCCTTGACAGACGCGCGATGCAGCGGCGTGTACACGAGCTTCTCGAGCTGACCACTCGGAGTCAAGCCGTAGCACCTCACACATTCCAGCACCAACACCTACCTCCTATACTCGACACATTGCGCTTCGACGCTGGCCCTCACGTCAAACAAGCAAGCGGCTGCCTCAGGATCTTCTACTTGGATAACCTGCACATCTCATACCAATCAAAAATGGCTCGTCAAGGTGTTCCCAAGGACATCGCTGCCCTCTCTCTCCCCAACCAGGGCTCTGTCAAGGTGCGCATCTTTGGACATGTTAGCCGGTCTCTCTGCAGATAGGTGGATGACAGGAGAGTGATACAATAGCAGGGAGGCAGCGACTTTGGTCACTAGACGAAGTGTAGGGTGCAGCAAACGCGCACCGCAGGTCGGCTGTTGTTTCTCACGAGGGCCTCGTGCTTGAGACTGGGCTGCGGTACCAAACACCGACTTACAGATGCAGCACTGAGCTGCTAGATTGCGCGGTTCACGGTGCGGCGTGGAGGATGGAGGTTTGGCAGCTTGCTAGGGCTTTAGCTCTCCACCGCAGAGGATTATTGTACGGGCTGGAGATATCAGTGTGCCCCTTGGATGCTCGAGGGCTCGAAGCTGACGCGATAATCTCACCCGTTTGCAGCTCTTTGGCAAATGGGACTTCACAGAGGTTGAGGTCAAGGACATCTCCCTCACCGATTACATTCAGCTTCGTCACGCTGTCTACACCCCTCACACTGCTGGCCGATATGCCAAGAAGCAGTTTCAAAAGGCCAACCAGCCCATCGTCGAGCGATTGGTCAACGCGTGAGTATCAGCCGCTTAGAGTGCAGGGCGTGTAGTGATGGTCCAAGTCGGCTGTTGAAGGGGGGCTGGCATGACGTGCAGCCCGAGTTCGTCGCTTACCAAGCCGAGTGATCTCGATTCGCAGTCTGATGATGCACGGTCGCAACAACGGAAAGAAGCTCATGGCAGTGCGCATCGTCGCTCACGCTTTCGAGATCATCAACCTCCTTACCGATGCCAACCCCATTCAAATTCTTGTCGACGCCATCGTGAACACTGGTCCTCGTGAAGACTCTACCCGTATCGGTTCTCAAGGGACTGTCAGGCGTCAGGCTGTTGATGTCAGTCCCTTGCGCCGTGTCAACCAGAGTTTGACTCTGATCACCACCGGTTGTCGCGAGAGCGCTTTCCGCAACGTCAAGAGCATCGCAGAATGCCTCGCCGATGAGCTCATCAACGCCGCCAAGGGCTCTTCCAACTCTTACGCCATCAAGAAGCGTGACGAGGCTGAGCGTGTTGCTCGCTCTAACCGATAAAGGGCTTTTGCTCTTCTGGGATGGATGTTTGGAGAGGGCTCGTACTGGCTATGTTGCAGGGGACTGGCGCAAATAGATGCACTTGCTCCACAACAGCTGATGACGAGACTGGACTTGGTTTGCGTGTATGCGCAGGTCCAGGCTTGACGCGAGGGCATCGAAATGGGTCTCTCTGTCTCTCCAGTACTACAGACCGGACAAATGTACTCAAAACTTCTCCGGGCATGGTGGAGCATCACCACGCCGTCTGCCTTCTCCCGACTTCTTCTTTTGTCACTTTTTCCCATCCCCTTTCTGGACGCTCATTCAGCATGAGTGTCCACTATGCATGTATACGTTCACGAGTGTCTCACGCCCCAACCCCATGCAACACACAGCAAAATCACAAAAGAATCGAGAATCTACCGATCCAGCTTGCGGTATACGCACGTGCTTGCTGTGGGGGCGTAGATGACGAGGGCGAGAGCAACTGGAAGAGCCGAACACCGCCTCTTCGTGCCAGGACATCCAGGTCGTGCGGGTAACTTGTGAGTGCTGGCCCTCTGCCAATTTCCGAGAGTGGCACATCGTAGCCAGATGCGAGAGCTGCACACCTGATCGGTGCGCGATGCGAGCTCGAGCGTGAGAGGCTGGCGGACACGAAGGATGCGGGTGCGTCACCATTTGTGATTAGCATCCTCGATCCAGCGTGACAATCCGAGGGCAGACTGCTGTTCGCGTGCTGTCGATCAAGGTGTAGGCACTTGTGACGCATGCGCTGGTGTTGTTGGCGGCGGAGAGCTGGAGCTGGCTGTGACAAGGACAAGGCGTGTGAATTGTGAAAGCACCAGGTCGCGAATCGTCAATACAACGAATCAGTGAATGTGATTTTACGAGTAAAGCAGCAGAGGCGCGGCCGCGGATCGACTTTGCGGCGGGGCCGACTGTATA